TGTTTCTGTAATAAACATGATGACAAATAATCCAATGATTGGGCCATATTTCCGTCTAAAGGTGTGGACCAACTGAAAACACTATCCATATCACTAAAGACACGTCTGAGCCATGTCAGTGTACAAATGTGCATTAATTATCATGTTTCATAAAATCCTGTTAAATCTTCAGTCTCAGCTTGGCTGTCACACCATCCCTTTTCATCCTGACCTCTTAGATCTGCTTATGTCAAGGAGTCCACCCATCAGCTGATTAAAACATCCTGTTAAGATGATTGGTCCCTCCATGCAGCCCACGACTCTGTTCAGTCGGTCTCTGTTTGTGCCTGCGCAATAATTTGTATGGCTAACTTTATTGATCGATACCCATTATGAGGTATGCACGTCCATCATATGACTCTTAAATAGAAACAAATTGCCTTTCTCCTCTTCAAAGTCCAGAAACAACTCAAACGTGCCACAAAACTGAAACACTTTAAACGGTTTCTCCATAATTAAGAACACATTGGTATTTGTAGATTGAAGACATGGGAATGCTTAATTTGAAATGTAGAATCATGAACCGTTAATTCTGTCATTTTATAAAAACTTTTCAGCCAATTGGCTTGAACAATGGTTGTTAAAAAGGTTGGTGTTTTGCCCGTCATTCAATGATAGCAGTTTGGTCAGCTTAATTTTTCAAGTTAACAAGGGAGCATTGTTTTTACACTGTAAAAAAAAAAAAGTGAAGTGTTCACAGGAACTCATAAAAGCCATTCTGGCAATACACTACCTACAAAACTCACCTTATAGATGAAAGTATCTGTTAACATTGGTCCAGGAATAAAAGCCAGAAGATTAAATTGCCTGTCAAACAATGCCCTACGAGAGGCTACTAGTTTTTATTTTTTTAAGTTGGATTGAACAAGACCAACAGGAATCATTAGAGGCACTTTATGGGTGTGTTTGTGCATCTGAGTCTGTTTTTTTTTGTTTCCTTTTCTTCTTTTTTTTTTGGAGATGTTATTCATGCATGCCTGTCTCACATTCACACACCCCCTTGTGTCTCTCTTTTGCTGTGTGATATCATAGTGAGGGGTTCAGTTTGATGTTTACAAGGCTGTAGAACAGAAAGGTTCCCTTGAGGATGAGTAGATCTTAAGACTCCAGAAGCCCTTTCTCATCAGAGGTCTCCTTCTATCTCACCTCTGTGTGACTCTCTCCGACTTCCCCCTGAGTGAGGTGTTCTGTCGGGTTAAACTCTGACTATATTCTGCTTTCGCACACCCTGCCTCACACATGTACAGTCACCTTTCTGAACAGTACGCAGTCCTGACAGTTAGATAGATGACAGAGTTTAGGATGCTTGACAAGGTGGAACAACGACCTTCATCCATGTGGACAAACACATACCACAATAGCATTGCACTGGCTAATAAACAACCCCAACGCCGGACAGAATGTTGATTTTAGTACGACTCCACAATACCTCAGACAATGTCCAAATACTTAACATTCAGGGCCAGTCTTTTTTGTCTCAACCTCCACAGTCTTGATTTCTCGCCTTGTTAAATAAAGGCCAAACTGGTTCTCGCACTCGCACTGAATGTTGGTGCTGGCAGTAAATTGTCGGATTTGAAGAGTATTCCTGTTGATGAAATATACCACACATGGCTTAGTTTTTGCATAAGAAAATGTTGCCCTGTTAATGAGGGCAACATTTGGGTTGCTAGGTTCCTCAGCCTGGTCTGAAGATTGAAACCTTTTAGTGAACTGTCTCGACAACTATTTGAAGGATTTCTGTCAAATTTGTTACACACATTCAAAACCCTATCAGGATTTACGTTTTAAAAAGTGTTCATGGTTCTTTATATCTGGCCCCATTATCAGTTGGGTTTTTTTGTGTCCGGATTCTACGCCCAAATGTCTGCAAACTAAGGATATGTTTGATTTTTCTCAGCTGTTTGTAATGCTAGTTTTTCTGTTGAGTGAACAGTGATTGTCACCTGTGTCAGTATTTCATCCTATGTGTGAGTAGCATGTCTCAACAGAGTGTAAACGTGATTCCACATCCTGGGATCAATAAAGAATATCTTCTTCTAACCTGCCAAACATTTGCATTCTGATGTTTGCATTTAGATCAAAGTATTCTCTGTATATTATATTTTTAGTCTCACAACAGCTGATTAGTCCGTATGGAAAGCACCTCGGATAATGAGTTTAATCCTTTGCCTGGAAAAATAGGTCTTTCCATAAATCACATCTATTGATTAGTACGTTTGGATATCTACAGAGTCACTTTTCTTTATCTTTTTTTGGGAGGGGTGGGGGGCTTTTTGTGCCTTTTTATTTGAGAAAGGACAGTGGGAAATTGGAGCGAGAGAGAGAGAGAGAGAGAGAGAGTGGGGAATGAAATGGATAAAAGGAGCCACAGGTCAGATTCCAACCCAGCTGCCCACTTCGAGTACATGTGGTGCATGAATACCTACTGGTCCACCGGTCACCCTAAAGTCACTTCTGGGCGGGGGTGTTGTGCCTCGTCTTCAATGTAAACTGCACTCATATATAAAGGTGGGGTGAAGTTGTTCAGCTGCTGAGCTGGCATCAGAGGGAAAAAAAACTAGACTTAACGGAAGCAAAACAGACACCAGCCCCATGTGTGAGTGCGTGTATGTGTGTCTGAGTGTGTGTATAAAGGACAATGGCACAGTGACAGTGGGGCTTTGTTACGGCGCTGCGCATTATCGCCTTGGAAAAGAGAGCCGTTGGCATCTGCTAATCTGCAGGTCAGCTGAGGGACAGTGAGATTGATGGCTACTTAACAAGTGACAAACAAATAAATAAAATGTAGGTGTTATTTCGTGAAAAAAATGTAATTCTAAATTAGCATGTTGCCTCTCAATTTAGCAGAAGTTCTTGGATGTCAGAATGGGCAGCTTTTGTCCAGGTGACAAATCCAATCATCCCTCTGTTTCTATGAACATTTCTTCCACATATCCTTCGGATTAAACGTGACATGAGCATTGTTTATCCATCCAGCCTGTGTTTTGTTGAATCAGATGTTCTCCGCTTCCTCCCTACAACTTGCACACAAACTATAAAGACTGTAAACTTTAATGACAACCACAGCAGAGAAACTGAAACCCGCCAGCTTCCTTCAGAGTAAAATGTGAGGGGGGAAAAAAAAAAAAAAAAAAAAAAAAGCTCCGTAAAGTGGCAGCAGGATTGGCAGAATATGCCTCCGTTACTGAAAACATCCCTGTCGTTTGAAGTACAAGAATACAATATGGGAACACTAGGGTGTTACACATCACTTTGTGCCGCTGTTTTCTGTCAATGCGTGTCTTAATAATGCATGATTAAAGGAGAGCGGAGTCCCAGCCATCTGCGTCAGCCCCCTCGTGCTTGAGTTAATCACAGATTTAGAGAGGATGAACTCAGACAGGAAGCTGCAGTTCTGCAGAATTTTCTCTCCATGCATGACGACAAGTCCTTTTTTTCTTTCTTTCTTTCTTTCTCTTTGGTCCTTATTCTTTTGGTATTCAGAGTAATGAACCTTAAGCAATTTATTGCAGAAAATTGGTCCCAAGGCATCTGAGAATCAGCTCGCCCTTTAGTGTATCTCTATGAAATAAGACGCTCACAGTGTCGAGAAAACACAAACTGAATACTTTTCTCCCTGTTGTTTTAGATTGCTGCTTTAAAACGGACAAAGACGGTATTTTCTGATCGATGCTCTCTATCTCTGGTTTCCACACAAATGGTGAGCAGAAGAAGCTTGTTGTGAAAAGTTGCCCTCATCTGCATCTGTGTGGAGCACAGAGTCAGTCTTGTGGACCCCAGCTGATGTAACAACCTTGTTTTTCTTTTCTGGACCATATCCAGTAAAAAGAAAATCTTTATATTTAGAAGAAGCGGTGCAGTAAAGGGAACTTTTTATCCTGCAGGGACTGTGTTCAAGCATTAGCAAGCTGGTCCTTGAGCAGGATGCTGAATCCTGAGCAGTTTCTGCAAAATAACAGGCATTTTATAACAGGGATCAATATAGCCTCATATCCTTTTTTTTTTTGATACACCCTTCCAAACTGTTCAGTATTCTGACATCATCATTCAACCAGTGAAAAGTGCTTATCGCTAGAAGCTGCAGCTCAGCATAACCTGCACCTGAATCCAAATGCCTTTGACCCCGACCACACACTGTATACAACATGTCAACTGCATCACACTGAGACCTTGAATGCTGCAAACACTTCTGAATCAGCTCTTTCTTTTGTCTTTACAGTTTTCCTACAGCGATCACATTTCATTCTTTTTTCTTTTTTTTTTTATTCTACTTTTTCTTATCTCTATAACTTTTAAACCTCTGGATATGTGATAATATACTTACAGGATAACTTAATCATCACTCAAAGCACTTTATGATTCCTGATAAGACATAAAAAAATCCAATACACACCAAAAGCAGCAAATCAATCAATCAGTAGTGTTTACTTCACCTGCATTATGAATAGGTCTGGGTTAAAAATGGCATTATACTCAAAATGGAAATAATTGTCAGCAGAGTGTTGTGATTTGGACGAATGAGTGTATGAAATACTTTAGTTCATTTCTGCAATTGGGTCCTCTACTTTGTTTTTTCACAGTCCGTGACACTTTAATTGTAAAGTCAGATATCACTATATGCCTTCACAGCTGACTTTTCATAGCTTATCATTACAGGGTTTTTTACAATGTTTATTATGACTGTGCTCTATCAAGACATGAGCGCATGCAAACTACTCAGTAATGGGGTTATAGCTTGTGCTGCCAGTCTGTCATTTCATGAAATATGTGTACAGATGGTTGCATTCACACACAAAGCTCACATGTTACAGTGTGTTAGTACACATGCACAACAGACGGTATCCAGATACCGTAAACATGAACAGGTGTCAGAGCTTCTCAGCTGCTTTGGGATACTTCAAGTCTTTGAAATGCCTAGCATGACCCTCGAACTCTGTGTCTTCTGTTTCCCCTTTCAGGACTGGCTGAGCAAGTTTGGCTACCTCCCGCCCCCCGACCCTGCGACTGGTCAGCTTCAAACCAAAGAGGCCCTGACCAATGCCATCAAAGCCATGCAGAAGTTTGGAGGGCTGAAGGAGACCGGGGTCTTCGGTATGTGACTTTGTGTGATTTTGTTTTAAAGGGAGTATCATGGTACTTTGGATGGATGGATTTAAGATGTGTGTGTTTGTGACAACAAAGAGAGACAGAGTGAAGAAGTGAGAAGCATTTTGATTAAAAAGTGAACATTTGGGAGAACATATAACCTCTTCTTGTATTTCATGTATTTCAAGTAATTACATTTCAAACTACAGCTTTAGAAACTGCCCTGGAGATGAATCAAAGTCCCCCTGACAACCACTGTATTCGATTGTACGTATATGTCTACACACATGTTAACATAAATCATAATCCCTGTAATACACACACACACACACACACACACACACACACACACACACACACACACACACACAGTAGAATGACAGTACTGCATACTATGTGATTTATGAGTATAACACAATAACAGTGTATTGATTTGTAGACCTTCTATTCTGCTGTTACATTACAAACTGTCACCTACACACACAGTACAAACAGTATCATTCTTTATCATACACAGCACCGTCACAGGAACCACAAACAATATAAAGAGGAGGCTGTATGTGTGAATGTATTTAAGAGAGTGCAGATGTGGATGAGCAAGTATGATTTATGGTACGAACAGTAGTCTAAGGGGATGTGTGATTGTGCATGTAAGAGGGTTTTGCACATAGCATGTATGATTTATGGCCCCAAAGGCCACTCGTACCATCCTCAACATACACTTTATGTATGTATATGAGCACATGTAGTATGAATTCCAACCCCTGAAACAGGCATTTGTAAACAGTTGTTCAACCTAAGTGGTGGGTATCCTCTCCTATAGAATTCTTCATGCATTTATAACGTAATCTGAATAACCCTGTCATGTAAATTTGTGTTCCAGCTGTCATAGAGATGGATAAGTAAAGTTACATTTACAGTTTTATATTAGTATAAGGTTTAATAAACATGCCCTAATTTTTCTAAATCACAATTATCTCTCTCCTCTCCTCTACAGACCAAGCCACACTTGGTCTAATGAAAACACCCAGATGTTCTCTGCCAGATGTGTCTGAAGGAGAGGGGACGATGGGCCGCAGGAAACGAGGCTTGAACCCTCAGAACAAGTGGAATAAGAGGCATCTGTCCTGGAGGTAGGAAGACATAACATCCACACTCTACCAGATGAGTTTACCCCCCCCAAAAAAAAAAAAGATATTCAAAAGTCGTTGTTATGATCATTAAAAATTAATTTCTGTAATAATCCTGACTGTTGAAGGGCGCTTCATGTAGATGAGGCCATTGAGTCAATGGACTCATAGTGAGTTCTTATACTGATCGTTGTAGTGTGCTCTTGAAAGTGAGAGGCATCTTGCTGTTGCTTGGCTACTACATTAAAAGCTATTAATCACAAACCGTGCTCATTTTAGCCATTCAAATCAACTGTGTCTGTGTTAGGGAAAAGACAGACACAGCTGTATCTAACAAACAAATCAGAAATATAAAAGTGGGTTTTAAAGCTTTGTGTTTTTTTTCCCCTGTCTGTCTGTCCGTCTGCTGTATGTGCGTTTTGAACGAATTGTTATGAGCAGAAACTTTTGCCATCTCGTCGCCATGGCTGTAGAAGTATTGTACAACGCAATTGCTGAGAATAAGTCCAATTCATCCTTCTTTAGCTGGAGGGAAAAAATCACCTAAATAGATAAAGCTACACTGAACTTCTCACTTAATAATAGATGGCATGCGTGTGGCCAGCTCGCAAGTTGGGAGTCATGTATTACTCTCCATGTGTGAATCCTTTGGTCGATTAATAGACCCTCCTCAAGATGGAAAGCTTTTGGTTGGGTTTATTCAATCCAGCAAACCGTAAAGAAACAGGAAGACCACTCCCACTGATTGAAAGTACTTGTGGGCCGCATGAAATGTTACCGGTTTGTGCTTCCTAGAGGTAAGTACCGTAAGTCTTTCTGCAGTTGATACTGTACGCCTACATAACAAAATAAATGGTCATGTAAGAGCAGCCGGACCATCTGTCAGGGACACAGCTTAGTGTTAGAAAGCACAGGAACATGTGGTTGGCTCTGTGCTGAATCTCACACGCCATGAGAGGTGATTCAATGAGATTATGATCTAAACTGGTGTGTCAGTCACTTTGGGTACTATGTGTGAATGCATTCCTCAAAAATACCAAAAAGCAATCATATGATGAATATGTCTGAGAGGATAAATACTGTAAAAGGCTGTCACACAGCGCAGTATCCACACCTTGTCCACATAGTAATTGTTTGCTTGCAACAATTTCATAACAAGCGAAGAAGAAGGAGAAGCAGACAAAACAAAACACACAAAGAAGAGTAATACGTTTGCAAGATGAAATGGCGGAGCTAGAAAACCACCTGCTTTTTTAAATCATTTGTGTGAGAAACTCTGGGTTCTCAGTGCTTTATGTCATTGGAAACTCATCTATCATGCTAATGGATATTAGACAGAATCACACAGAGGTAGTGGAGCCCCAAGGAAATGTTCATACTGTATAGGTGTGGCCAGATTGGGGGCAATGAAAATCTTGGGAAGGCCAACCAAAACCAAAATCAGTGACTGTATTTCATGAATTCTTTAATACTCTTGCTCTTGTTTCGTGGTATAGGCTGAAAACTATTTCAGACAGCAGTACAGTAGTTCTCTTCCTTAAGAAGACAGGAATAGGCTAAAATCATAATCTAAAGGAGTTGATTGTAAAGAACAAAATATGTACTGGGAGTGATCAATGAAAAACACAGACTTTAATACTTCCGCTTAATCCCTGTGCGGAGCCTCGGTGAAATGAAAGGCAGTGTTGAAGTAGTGCCATGTAGACCCGCTGTACAAATAGGAAGATATTAATATATTTTCTATATCATTTCTGGACTTTCACACAGAAATGGGCCATAAAGCGTTGATATTTCATTGTGTATTGTAACGTTGTTTTGAACACTTCTTCGTCTTTTCTTCGTTCACTCAGCAGCTGGTGTCTGTGTGTGATAAAAATCAGTAGCTTCGCGTTAGTAATGTTGCAGCCTGCTGTAGTCCGTTGCTGTAAACCCAGAGAGCTGTGTTGGCTCCAAAAACTAAAGATAGGCTATATAGCCTAACTGCACATGCATTATTGTTTGTCTGACTACGGGCAGCAGCTGCATCTCTAGAGCACTGACACACAAACCTCTGCTAAATGAACGATCCAGAGAAACGGTCCCGATCTGTGATCAAAATCCGTTAATCGAACCGAACTGTGGGATTTGTGATCTGTACCACCACCAGTAATGAAGAGAAACTCACACATTATTATCCAGCCACACCGAGGCTGGTTTTCTCTCTGATTTCTCTCTCCCTGCTGGAGAGATGGGCTGTGATGTAAAGGGTCATTGCTGCTCAGTCAGTCAGGAAGCAGACACGAGGCACGACAGCCTGAGCAAAAACGTTTTGATAAAAGCTCCCCGCTTCTCACTTCAACCATTCACGTTCAATGACCTTGCCCATTTTAAACATGCTGTGATGATGCTGATAAGAGAGGCAGTATGGAACTAACTTTTGACACAATGAAAGGACTTTCTTTTTTTTATTTTTACAAACTTTAAATGGAAAATTGGATAGCAACTGTTGGAATTCCTCGTTAATCACATCCCAACCAATACAAACAATGCATTATCTTGAGTCATGATAGGTACAGTATAAGATTTCACAAACGACAGCCTGTCAGTTGATCACTTCGTATTTAAAGGTCACATGTTGTCCTCCTTTTCAACAAGTTTAAATAAGTATCTTTCATAATATGTGAGATAAGAAAGGGGACCAAGCCAACGTTCATGCAGGCAAAAATAACCACGTGAAGACAGAAAATATTGACTGCAGGGCATATAGGAGGTCTGAACACTGTTCGACTTTGAGTAAGTGGTATCTCTATTTTTTCTTGGCAGGAAGATGAGTATCCTGATCAAACATGCCCTAGAAAAATAGAGAAATAAACCACTTGTTCAGAACCAAATCGTGTGCAAACCTCGAATGTGCCCTCTTGACGGAAATATTGAAACAACTTTTGGACTTATCTCAATAAAACTTAATTCAGACATTTATGGCCCTCATGACTTATGTATTCCATAGCCTACATAAAAATGATTATTGGATGAATTACACATTAAGTTTGTTGTGCATGTTAAAGTGCTTCTCAAGATTAATAATTACAGCTTTGAAAAAACCTTCAGTTTCATTTACACCTCGTGATGTCTAAAAATTAAACCAGTAACTTTCAAAATCGATGACATTCTCTTCAGACCCAGGTGAATTTTTATTATTATTGGCAAATATTAGCCTGCTAACATGCTTACTAATATAGGTTACATATAAAAAAAACAGCGTAGCATTGTTATTGTGAACCTGTTTGCATACAGGGGTTGACAATCAGCTAAAAGAACTGTGCACTAGTACAGCTTCACAGTCCTTTTAGCATGTCGTAGATTCTCAAGTCTCATACACATTATTAATATCAAAGTGCAAAAGTGTTTATATGGTTTTGCAGCTTAGTGCAATTTGGTCTTGTAATGCATCAGATTGCACAAATGATCTTTGAGCCCCTCCACTCTCTCCCACCAGAGCACGAGTTCACGAGTTCAACGCGAGTTCAGTCTCACCTGCAGACGGATGTTGAGCTACAAAGGGAAGGGGACATCTCTTTTTTCTCTCTTATTCTGAAGCCCATATTTGACAGACATGATACCAGTTTCACCATCTGTAACACGGCTTCCTCCCCGAGGCGAGTCAGGCAAGCAAGCTGTCCAGATAAAATTGCACTCACATCCAAGTCCTGCTTCATGGCTCCAGACCGTTCACACAGCCACACAACCACACATCCAGAAAAAACAAAGTATAGTATACTGTGACAAAGCCTTGGACAGCCCTGGACTGATTTAACCCCTGAATCAAACTATAACTAACAGTCTAGTAGTCTTACAGAAAAAAAAAAAAAAAGTTTTTAGGTCACGCTGCATGAAACCACTTATAAATGTGCTTTAGTCACCATCAACTCTCAAAAGGCAATAATAATTTAAAGCAAGCTGTGTTTGGCTACACACGCTGGTGTCTGTAAATGTGTTTCTTTTTTTGCATTTAAGATAATTTGCAATTGTGCTGAAGCAGCGACATGCTATTTTCTCCGCAGGACAGTAAGGGTTGAATTTCATAATTTGCATGTGTCCGGAGATTTTTCAATGTAATTTTCCTATTTTGCAAGTTTAGCCACGAAAAAAATGAGCACAGTCCTTTTGTTGATTTTCTCCTCAGCTTGCAAAAAATAAAACAAAGTGACTGTCATCTTGTGGTTTGCAATTTCTGCACAGCTGCAACACAAATCTCTTCAGCTTTTATTGAGTTTTGTTTGTTGAGCAAGTGATACATAAGGTGAAAGTTACTTCTATGTTATGATTCCACCTTCCACCTTCTGCACCTAACAGCTGCAGAATGTATGAAATGTCTTTATGCTAATTATACATCTGGGTAAACTAAACACATACAGCTGTATACAAACTGTAATCTTTGTGTCACTGACCAAAGCAACATTTAAAGCTGCTTTGCGAAACAAAGCTTGTTTTTAGGCCCATTGTCATTTTTTTAAGCCTCATTCTTCTCTCCCTACACCACACAGAAAAGAGTGTAAGTGGTTGAATTGCCTGTGTTTAGATGAGGTGCTGGGTGTTTACTGCTGACAGGTCAGCACGGCTTCTCAGTTCAGCTGCTGTGTAGCTGACAGCTGGAACACACTGAAGCAGGCAGGTTGGGTTGTGAAAGTGTCGACTAAGCTTTCAGAATATGTGATGCTGAGATATTGTTTTTCAAGAATGAAAGTTTGGTTTTAAAGTGGATTCAAAGCACTTCAGTTTGAATAGGGTGCTTTTTGAGTAAGGTGTGTTTTTTTTCGTTCGCTCTAAATGACTGATCTAGTAGTTCCTTGTTTTGCGATGAAAGGACTGAATTCTGAAACTACATTATCAATCAATCAGTCAATCGTTATCTGTATAGCACCAATTCATGAATAGAGCAGGTAAAAAGACCTTACTCATTGTTATGTTACAAAATTGCAGGTAAAAGACCTTACTGATTATATGACTAAGACCCAACGCTGATC